GTCCTGTTCCCAGGTGTGACTGACAGACAAGTACCTTCCCTATTTTACCCAGACTTTACTAGGCATGCATCTATTTGGTTTTCCCTTTGCTCCTATCCAGTTAATTCGTGACTGGGTTTATTACAGTGGTATCAATAGCACCTACAGAAAATATTGTATTTCTTGTAGAAATGTTCACTTCACAGATTAAAGGAAAATGAAGATAAAGTTTTGGAGGCTGTGAGTTCTATGGAGTCTGGATCTTCACACATTAGAGAAATTCTTATGTTTTGTAACTGACAAGTTAAAAACAAAAGAGAATTCATCCAAGGAGGGTTGGAAGGAATGTAGTAGACCTGTTGGATTATTATATTAAGCTTACTTTGACACATTTAATTCAGGTTAACTCCTTTCTTCTCAATACTTTTTACTGTGGTTTTAGAATTTTTCCTGTGGAACACATCTTCCTATTTTAAAGAAAGCTTGTGGGGAAAAGTTTGTGTTAATTTTTTATTAAAGATTTAATAGACAACTTGAAAGGGTGATTTTTCAAGAAGTAATATTAGAAACTGTAAAAACAATTCTTTAGAGAATCTGTTCTGGATAAAATATTTTTCCTATTAAAAATTTGGTACAGCCTAAGTGTATTTTCAAATATTTTTTCTCAGTAAATTCTATAGTGTTCTGTTAACACATTGGGGACGGATCATGAGAATTCTCGCTTTTACAAAGTATCATACTCTAAAAAGATATTAGCTTGTAAGAATATGTAATAAATAACTTCAAAATGCAATGGGTATTTAATTTTAAAGTGTGCATTTAACATTTATGTAAAACATTTTTTGTACTCGTTCAATAGAAACTTATCTGCCCACTGGGTAAAACTAGCAATATAACTACTGGTCCGCAATGTGTTAAGTGTAAAGTTACTATAAATATTCCTACAGCTGACAGTACCATGATATGTTATCAGTCATGCCTCCCAAATAAAGAAGCTAGAAGAATTCATCAACTTTACCAGAGTCAGTTGGCCAAGCTGTTTATTTATATGGAAGGAGTTGTCCAGCATGGTGATGGGTTTTGCCTCTCTGCAAAAAGTCCATCAGGGAAGGTACAGTTGGTTGCAATATTTTTTGGCCACAGAAATGTGATTTGTGCTGTTGCCTGAATTATGAGAGCTAAAAGGTCCTCTTAAAGTTACTCTAAAAAAGCCTTAAGGGATATCTGCTGAATGTAGAGCTACTGGATATTTGTGTTTATTTTAGCAGGACTCTAAGTAAATATGTTAGTAGATATGTTAGATGTTTTTTAAAAGGTGGCAAATAAAAAATGGTTGCCATCAGCTGATGAGATTTTGGTGAATTTCTGAAAGATAAGAAACAAATTGCATCAGTAGAGAAACTAGGAGTAGAAATCACAGCTGAAAGTATGTGTAGAAGTTTCAGAAATGTACTAATCTCTAAGTAAACAAAAATGAATGGAAGGGTGCCTATTCATCAAATTTCCTGGCCCTTGCTCTCAATTTCGATCATCTGGTGTGTGTCCCCTGGATAAAGCCCAGAGAGAAGTTTTCCAAACATTGAACCATCTGCCTGGAGAGGGCATAGATTTCCTTATAGTAGTGGTTCTCAACCTTCCTAATGCCACGACCCTTTAATACAGTTCCTCATGTTGTGGTGACCCCCAACCATAAAATTATTTTCGTTGCTACTTCATAACTGTAATTTTGCTACTGTTATGAATCGTAATGTAAATATCTGATATGCAGGATATATTTTCATTGTTACAAATTGAACATAATTAAAACATAGTGACTAATCACAAAAACAATGTGTAATTATATATGTGTTTTCCGATGGTCTTAGGCGACCCCTGTGAAAGGGTCGTTCAACCCCCAAAAGGGTCTCGACCCACAGGTTGAGAACCGCTGCCTTATAGTCTATTCTCCCCATAGTATTTAATGTATGTAAATCAAATGATGTCATTCTTTTGCCTGAAGCACCCATTGCCTTCCTAAACTCTATTGTATTTTACAAGGTTGTGTGATCTGGCCCTTTGCCTACTTCTCAGGCCTCATTTCCAACCCCTCATTCACTTGCTAACATTGGCCTTTTTGCTATTTTCAGACATGCCTAGATGTTATCCTTTCAGTTTCTTCACACTTATTACAGTGGGGCCTTGACTTACGAGTGTCCCGACTAATGAGTTTTTCGAGATACCAGCCGTCTCTCGGCCGATTTTTTGCTTTGAGTTGCGAGCTAAAATTCGGGTTATGAGTCAGCTTCAGATACCCCACCGCTAGTTGGCGCAGCGAACGCAGCTAACGTCACAGTGAACGCCACAACATCAGCCCAGCATTCAATTCATTGTAATGGTAAAAAAAAAAAAAAATTCATTGTAATGCTGAAAATTGATTTGACATACAAGTAATTTGAGTTACAAGCTTGGTCACGGAACGAATTAAACTCATAAGTCAAGGCCCCACTGTAGTTCCTTCTGAAAGCCCTCCTTCACATCTTCTTTTTTAAAAAAATATATTTTTATTGATTTCAGAGAGGAAGGAAGAGGGAGAGAAAGATAGGAACATCAATGATGAGAGAGACTCATTGATCGGCTGTCTCCTGCAAGCCCCATACTGGGGCTCAGGCCCACAACCCAGGCATGTGCCCTGACCGGAATCGAACTGTGACCTCTTGGTTCATAGGTCCACGCTCAACCACTGAGACACGCTGGCTGGAGATAGATTTTTATAGCTCTTTCTTTTTCATTATTCAGATCTCTGATGAAATGTTACCACATCAGGGAAAAATCACCTTATCTAAAATAGCTTCCCTGGTTTGGCCAGTGTGACTCAGTGGTTGAACATCCACCTATGAATCAGGAGGTCACAGTTGGATTCCTGGTCAGGGCACATGCCCAGGTTGCAGGCTTGATCCTCAGGGGGTGTGTAGGAGTCAGTGAGTATCATCATTGATGTTTCTATCCATCTCTCCCTCTCCCTTCTTCTCTGAAATCAATAAAAATAAAATTTTAAAAATCAAATAAAATAGCCCTAGCTGGTTTGGCTCAGTGGATAGAGTGTCGGTCTGCGGACCGAAGGGTCCCAGGTTTGATTCCGGTCAGGGGCATGTTACTTCGGTTGCAGGCTCCCCCCACACCCTTAGGGCACATGCAGGAGGCAACCAATCGATGTGTTTCTCTTATCTTTCTCTCTGTCTTCCTCTCTCTTCCACTCTCCCTAAAAATCAATGGAAAAATATCCTCAGGTGAGGATTAACACCCACCCTCCCCCCACAAAAAAAGAAAGAAAATAGCCTCCCTGTAGTCCAGAGGTGTGAAAAGGCTGGCCCGGGCCCTATAAGGTGGCCCACAAAACCATTTGGTCTAGCCCTGCCAAAGCATTGGGGGTGAGTTAATTAAATGTTTGACCAAATATAGCAGGCTAATTTTTAAGTTGATAATTTTGTATGGCTCACAAATGATGTTATAAATATCCAAATATCCAAATGGCCCTTGGAAGAAGAAAGGTTCCCTACTCATACTGTAGTTACTCTCTATTCTTTTTTTTTTTTTAAATCTATTTCTTTATTGATTTCAGAGAGGAAGGGAGAAGGAGAGAGAGAGAGAAACATCAATGATGAGAGAGACTCATTGATTGGCTGCCTCCTGCACACCCCACACTGGGGATGGAGCCCACAACCCAGGCATGTGCCCTTAGCCGGAATCGAACCCGGGACCCCTCAGTCCGCAGGCTGACGCTCTATCCACTGAGCCAAGCCAGCCAGGGCTACTCTCTATTCTTTATTTTGTTTTATTTTTCATAGTACTGGTTATCTTGTGAAATTATTACCTTACGTATCTGTTTATCTTCCTATTAGAATATGTTTCCTTGAGTCTGGGGACTTTGCTCATTACTAAATTCCCAGTATCTAAACTAGTGCCTGGCATATAGTAGACACTCAATAAATATTTTATAAATGAATGAGTGAATTTTGACGTTAGAGAAAGAAGCAAGAATAGACTGAAGCAATTATAGACTGGTATTACAAAAGCAGAGGAAGCAAAAAGCAAAGTGAGTTTCTAACTCCAGTGTTTCTTTCTAGGGTAAAACTCTGATAGGTACTCTCTCTGAAGTCAGAAGTCTGGCATAGAGACCAGATATATCACTAATAATTTATATGATGTTCAGAATAGATAGGGATTCATATCCAGAAAGCCAGTTAACTGCAGATACTGCCTAACAGCATAATTCACCCCTCTTCTATAGGCACTGGAAATGGGTATATACACTGAGTGGCACCCCATCAGTACAATGAAGTGAATTAGTTATGCAAGTAATAATAATAATAAAACCTTGAGAGTATTTGCTTAGGAAGTTTTCAATATTCAGTATTTTTGAAAGTGTCAATGAAGTACTGATAGGGTGGTCATAATAATCTGGCTGGTTATAATAATCTGGCCACTCAGCGTATAACTAGAACCTGCATATAACAACAGATGAACAAAGATTCTCATCCACTCAGAGAAAAAACTGTTTAGTTGAAACTTCCAAAATACAAATATGAACTAATAACCTAGATTAGTCATTTGAGAAAAATTAATACTATGAGAGATACCAAATGCAACCGAAACTAAGGAAATAGTGAATAGTATAAACTGAAGGAAAATTTAAAGATAAGCATTATCAGTAATTTCAGAAGAAATAAGAAATGTAAATATTGAAATTTTAAAAATAAAAAAGAGACTGAATTAATAAGTATGAAGATTGAGCTGAAGGAGTTTCTCAAATCAAATGCAGAGGATGTCAACAATAATGGCAGAGAAAGAACCTCTGAAAACTTTCTCCTAAGAGCAATGAGGACACTGACAAAAATAGAACAACTTTTTCCAGAACTATGAGAATTAACCAAAGGCTTGCAGCAATCTGGGAACATTTATTCAAGAAAAATGGCTGAATTTCAGCAAAAACAGTATACTTTGTAGAGTTTTAACTTGCTTTGTTTCTATTCCCCTCTCTCCAGCTCCACAGTAGCCTTGAAAACCAACTGCCCCAATCATGGTGAAAACTAGCAGCCTCCAGAAGCCACTGGAAGGGGCAGAACAAGATTGGAACTCCTTCAAAGCCCCATTCCCAGGGAATTGTCATTACTTGACCTGTTTGGTGGTTCCTTGAAAGACATTCACAAGACTGTCTGTATTTGACCTGATGTGGAGCTCATCCTGTACAAATAGCCTTTTGCCCATCAGGGTATTCATTGGAAACAGAGGCAGTTGTTGAACATCTTGGCTGCCTGTGATAGTGAATAACAGTTGGGACAAACAACAGGCTAACCAAAAAGCTTAAAAGGAAAAGCTGAGCAATGAGATAGCCATTAGGGGATTTGAGAAGCTCTGATATATTTCTGGGAAATCTGAAAGGTTGTGTATATGCGTGGGGCTGTGTGCATGTTTATTTAGGAAAGACCTGAGAAGGCCTAAGTTGTCAGTTTTTTAAATCTGGTTCATCTTTAAGTTCTGTGCAAGCAGGTAGTGAAGACTAAGGCAGATTTGTAAATTGACTGGCTGAGTGTTAAATATGTGCCCTGATATACATACAGAGCCCAGCAGTCTAGACTGGAAGATTTTCTAAGGAAATCTGTCTAATCAGTAGCTCATCATTAATACTAATAGCAGAGACTTCAGTGGCCACATGTGACAAAGAATCCAGACTGCAGAATTAGATTCTTTATTTCCCTATCCTATTTCATTTTTCTTACCACTGCTTAAATAATAAGTTACTGGTTATCTGTCTCTTCCCTCTGATTAGAATATCCACGCAGTGAGAGCAGGGACTTTGTCTTTTTGCACAGGGCTTTATCTCCAGTGCTTAGAACAATGCCTAGTACATAAAATATTTTTTGAAATAATGAATAAATGAATGACTCAGATATCCTCTATTCACTTTCTGTCTTCTAAAAATCTGTTGTCTTTTGCCCCCTGAAAACACTGTTTTTATTTTTGTTGTAATTGTGTATTTTATCTATTCTATTCCTTTACTATTAATTTTATAGAGTGGATTTCTGTGCATTGTCAGCTCTCTTGAACCCAATGTTCTGATTCCTGATTTTGATCAATGGGAAGGTGGTTGAGAGTAAACTGATTGGGATGAAGTTTGGGAAGTTATGTGGTAGAATTCAGCATTCAAAAGAAGAGAATGAAATAACCATACCCTATACAAATAATTTTGACAATCTGGATGAAGTGGCTATTTTATTTTATTTATTTGTTTTTATTTTGTTTTATTTTTTAGATTTTCAGGTTCTATTCATTACTATCTCTTATTCCCATGACACTATTTTATTAAAGTTAAGCCACACATTTAAAAAATACTTAGGCCCAGTCATAAGATGGAGAAATTATTTGCTAAAATTTTATTTGGGGAGGTGTGGTGAATAATTCTTCGAAGTTTTAAAATATGCATTGGTTGATCTAATGAGTTGGTGTTTATTTCTACAGGCACATGTGGTCATACTAAAAATGTGATTTGTAATTGCAATGACTTGGTTATCCCCTTTAATAATGGTTATTTTCTCAAGCATGAAGTGGCTATTTTAGAAAAACATTAACAGATTTGATGCCAGAAGAAAGAAATTTAATAGACTGATAACATTGAAGAAATTAAAGTTGTCTTAAGGTCTGCTCCACAAAAACCTTGAGACCCAGATATTTTCATAGGTATGCTATTTCAAATACCCAAGGAAGAGATACTTATGGCTCTTCTAGAGCAGTGATTTTTCAGCCTTTTTCATCTCATGACAGTAATTACTAAAATTCTCTGGCATACCAAAAATGTATTATATTTTTTGCCAATCTGACAAAAATAATTTATTTTGCTAAATTAATTTTTTGAGAGAAAGAGAAAGAAATATCGACTTGTTGTTCCACTTATTTATGCATTCATTGGTTGATTCTTGTATGTGCGCCATCCAGAGATCAAACCCACAACCTTGGCGTATCAGGATGATAACCAACTGAGCTACCAAGCCAGAGCAAAAATAGGTGTAATTTTGATTCATTCACATTGGATGGCTATTATTGTATTGGCTGTTTTCATTTTTTAATTTTACAATTTAAGGGAAAAGAGGTCAATGCCCTTTACTAGTCAGATATTACATGTTTTAAAAATTCTTGCAGCACACTGGTTGAGCATGGATAAAGAAAAAAAGTTTACAATTCTTTTAAGAAAGCTAATGAAATATTGATTGTAAACTTTCTAGGCAGCATGAAACAGGAAAATATGAAAAAATTTTACAAATATTAATGTAGCTTCAATTCAGTACTAGCAAATGGAATTCAACAGTACATGAAAATTATCTTCAGCCCCAGGGTTTCAGTTCTGAAATAAATGCATATGTGGTTCAATATTAGGAAATCTATATACATGTTCTATTAATAGGTGAGAAAAAACCACATGATCATTTTTTTGATGCCAAAAAAGCATTTGACCTAATTAATATCAATTCCTGATAAGCATTCTCTGTATAATTAAAATTGATGAATTCTTATTTCACATGATTAAGAAAAATTTTATTTCAAACCAAAACCATTGTCATGCTTAGTGAGTGGTATGCTAGAAGTATTTTTATTAATGTAAGGAACAAGAAAAGGATGCCCAACATTTAGCACTGTTACATAATATTATAGTGGAGGTGTAAGTCAATATCCAAGATTAATATTGGGGAGAGAGAAAGCAAAATTTTTGTGCAGCAGGGGACAATATATACATGAAACTCAAGAATCAACCATTTTACTGTTCTCGTTGTTAGAAACAATAAGAGACTTTGGTAACGTGGCTCTTTACAAAATTAATATACCAGTATCAACAGCTTTCCTATATATAAAAAGCAGCTTCTTTAGAAAATATAATGAAAAATATAAGAAACAAAAAGATAAGATACCAACATAAGTAAATGGAGAGGCTCTACTAAGAGACATTTTAAAAAGATTAACTGGAAATACTGTGCTCTTAGGAGAGCTCAATATTGTAAACTTATTGGTTTTCCCTAAATTATTTTATGTACTTAATGCAATTTAAATTAAAATATCGTTAGTTTTTTAAAACTTGACAACATTACTGTGAAAGCATAAAATGTGAGAAAGAAGAAGGAAGAAGAGAAGCTAGCCTTTCAAGTATTAAAACACATGAAAAAAAACACCTCTGCAGTATGTTAGGAAATTATATTTCAAATTGGTTTCCAAGGAAGTACCAAATAGACTCTGAAACAAATAGACTAGTAACAAAATCTAGAAATTGCATATATATATATATATATATATATATATATATATATATATGGATTTATGCATTATAAAATTGGCATTTCAAGTCATTGGAGAAAATGGCAAGATTTAGTAAATGGTATTAGGACAAGTGGTTAAGTATTTGGTGGATCAGTCAAATAACACCTAACACTTATTATGTATCAGGGTAGCTATCATAAACTCTATATTAATATATTTATTTCTCCCAACAGCTTTGTGAGATAGATACTGTTTTACCCCCATTTTATAGATGGGGAGGTTGATGCAGAGTCACACAGCAATTAAGTGGCAGAAAGTGGGATTCAAGTATAGGCATTCTGGTTCCATGGTATGTTCTCTTAATCACTATGCTATTATTGCCTCTCTAAGCATATATGTAAATGTAAATAATAGAGCCATCAAAGTTATAGAAAGAAGGGTAATCATTATTTATAAGTTGGTTTTGTGGAAGCCTAAAAAATGGCACAAAACTACTACAAAGGAAAAAATTTGGCAAATTTTATTTCCTAAAAAATCATAACTTCTATTTGGCAACATATGCCATAAACAAAGAAATGACAAGGAGAGAGAAAATGTATAAGTGAAAAGGCTAATTTCCATAATTTACAGTGAATTGATACCAAATATTAAGAAAATGATCAGCAACCCTATAGTAATTGGCAAAAGATGACTAGGCAGTTTACCAGAAATAAAAGCCAAACAACTGAAAACACTTATTTTTATTTATAATTAGTGATATAAAGCATGCAATTTGGAATCATCTTTTACTTATTGCATTAGGCAAAACTTAAAAGATTGATGGTACTTGATACTAGTTGAGGCACAAGGAAGTGTGCACTAATTGTTGCAGTCTTTTCTATAGGTTTTCAGGGTTCCTTCAGTCTGACAGATCTATCAGGGTTTGGTAGAACTACTTAGGAAGAAGAAAAAATACACATATATACATGTACTTTTATATATAAGGATTAAAGGGCTTACCCTGTGGGTGAAGAAAACAATTTTCAGGTACCCCAAAAGGAATGTAGTACAGATGGGACATTCGGTCAGCATCATCTAATCTAGCAGAAAATTCAAATAAGGTGTGGACTGAAGAAAGACCATTGTGAAAAATCAGTTATGACTTCATAGAAAAATTTTGAAGATTGAAATTTTAATAAAGTCAAATTTATTCCTTTTTCTCTTTTATGGATTTGCTGTGGCATCATACCTAAGAAATCCACTGAACTGTGAATGCCTTATGGAAATGGTCCTGATTTATTCTTCCACTCCCAGTGCTTAGTAAGATACTTATGAATGCAAAGGGGACTAATATTTTTAGGGTACCTCTACTATGTGTTAGGCACTGTGCATGGTACTAGACTCTTTTCCTAAGTATTCATTAATTGAATTAAAATAAAATAAAATGAATCTAGCCCTACCTGGTTTGGCTCAGTGGATAGAGTGTTGGCCTGCGGACTGAAGGGTCCTGGATTCAGTTCCAGTCGAGGGCACATGCCTGGGTTGCGGGCTTGAATCCCCAGTAGGGGACATGCAGGAGGCAGCCAATCAGTGATTCTCATCATTGATGTTTCTATCTCTCCCTCCCTCTCCTTTCCTCTCTGAAATCAATAAAAATATATTTAAAAAATAAATAAAATGAATCTATATTTACAAGAGAATCTAAAACTGACTTGCCCAAGGTTTTATAGCTAGTAGGTAATAGAGCTAAATGCTTTTGACTCTAAATCCCATCTCTTTCCCTTATACTGATTTGTCTCATTACATAGTAAGCTCCTATTTAGTGCATTTGGAATGATTGACTATAAAAATGTGATCACAAACTTAGAAACATTTCATAAAGCAAGTTTGATTAACACATTTTTGCACCCTTTTGGTATTATGCCTATAAGCCATTTAAATATTTTTTTTAAAAAAACAGTGCTGCTCTTATAATATTATTCTGAAATAGATTTTCAGAAGTGTTTCAGAGATAGTACAGAGAGTTTCCATGTACCCCTTACCCACTTTCCCCTCTTGTTAATTTTTTTTTGGTGTGTTTTTAAATCCCCACCCCAGGATATATATTTAGAGGAAGGGAGAGAGAGAGAGAGACAACAATGTGAGCGAGAAACATTGATAGGTTGCCTCCTGTACTCACCCCGACTGGGAATCAAACCCACAACCTTCTAGTGTACAAGACGACATTCCAACCAACTGAGCCACCCAGGTAGGGCTTACATAACTATGGTACATTTGTCAAAACTAAGAAACCAATATTGGGACATTACTATTAACTAAATCCAGGCTTCACAAACTTTAGCTTTCACTATTTTTTTCACTAATGTCCTTTTTCTCTTCCAGGATCCAACTCAGGATACCACATTGCACTCTATAGATATAAAAAATGACTTTGTGAAAGAAAGAAAAAATAAATACTTCACTCAAAATAGAAAATATGAATTTCAGTCTTGAGGCATAGTTTGCCTAAGATTATTAGTTAAGATCAACTGGAAAAGAGGACTTGTGTATCTTTCAGGTTTAACTCCATTAAGCAGTCTTCTTTTTTTTCCCCCCTAAGCAAAACAACAAATAGTATAGTAGTTGTATTCTGATTTTAAGTGCTATTTTATAAATAGTAGTACAGATGCTCCTCAACTTGTGATGCAGCCACAACAAACCCATCATAAGTTGAAACCCATCATAAGTTGAAAATATCATAAATATTTTTCTAGTAATATAAATAAAAAATGTACTTAATATACCTAACCTATAACATCATAGTTAAGTCTTGCCTACCTTAAACGTGTTGAGAACACAATATCTCAAAAACACTGGCAACACACTATACTGTAGAGTATTGGTTCTTTACCCTCGTGATTGTGTGCCTGACTGGGAGCTACTGCTACCCAGCATCATAAGAGAGTTTTGTACCACATGTTACTAGCCTGGAAGAAGATCAGAATTCAAAGTACGGTTTCTACTGAATGTGTATTGCTTTTGCACCATCATAAAGTTAAAAAAGCGTAAGTCAAACAGTCATAAGTCAGGGACTGTACTTGAGTTTGTTCTCAAGGCATTATTAGATCAGTAAGGCTTCTCACGATCCATGAAATACCTGGGACTGCCAGTGTTATTACTGTTTGCTGGGAATTTCTTCCACTATACATTTAGGGTTCGGCTCAGAGCAAAAGCATGAGAATGCTAACCTTGTAGTTATGTGACAGTTCTGTTAGGCAAACTGTCCAATTATTTGGAAAGTTTTTGAGTATTTTATTTTTACCCTATCAATGTGTGGAAGCATTTTTGCAGCTGTATGTATAACCATGTTTTGTCTTATGTATTTTTCTTCATTTCTCACCTTTGTTTTCAGCTTGTGTATTTCTTCAGTGGCCAGATGGCCAACAAACCAAAGCAGAGAGGTAATAGCAAAACAAATGAAAAACTCAATAAACCTCTCTACTATTTGTATTAATTTTCTGTGACTGCCATAATAAATTACCACAAATTTGGAGATTTGAAACATCAGAAATTTATTATTCTCTTGCAATTCTGGAGGCCAGAAGTCTGAAATCAAGGTGTTGGCAAAGCTGCACTTTTTTCATAGCCTCTAAGGGGAGAATCTATTCCTTGCTTCTTCCAGTTTCTGGTGACTGCTGGAAGTCTGGCCATATCCTCCAACCTCTGCCTCCACCTTTGTATCACCTTCTCTCTGTATGTGTTAGCTAATTTCCCCTCCACCTTACTTTTATAAGGACATGAGGTGGCACTTATGACCTACCTAGGTAATCAAGGATAATCTCATCTCAAAATCCTTAATTTAATCCTGCAAAGACTCTTTTCTAAATAAAGTAACAATCACCAGTTCTGGGAATTAGGATGAAAATCCTTCCTTCCTTCCTTCCTTCCTTCCTTCCTTCCTTCCTTCCTTCCTTCCTCCCTTCCTCCCTTCCTCCCTTCCTTCCCTTCCTTCCCTTCCTTCCCTTTATTTTTAATTTAAAACTTTACCCTACCAAAATAGTTATGGCAATGTAAAGTACAGCATAAAAAACATGTAGTCAATAATATTGTAATAACTATGTATGGTGCCAGTTGAATACTGGAAATATCAGAGGGAACAGTTTGTAAAGTATATGATTGTCTAACCACTATGCTGCACATCTAAAACTAATACAAAATAATATTGAATGTAAATTGTAACTGAAAAATTTTAAAAATAAACAAAAACCTTTAACCTACTAATAAGTGAGGGAAAATAAAGGCTTCTAACCTCGAAGTAAGTAGTATCAGTGCTGTGATCTCTTATTATAAATATAATATTAAAATTTGAAATAAAGTTTATCATTTCTTGCTTTTTTTGGATAACACAAACTTCAAAATGATGTTTTTCAAATCAGTTAACAAAACCTTGTAAAGAATTAAATTTGTGACTTAAGGCATCCCTGGTAAGAAATGAGAAAAGTGAAGATTTTAATTTTTTATGCCTCTAAATATATCAAAGGTTCTTAAAGAACTAGTTTAAGTAAATATTTAGAGGAATTAAGAGCCTGGAAATTGTGTTTGATTGAATGAATGTTTATTGAATGTCCACCATGTGCTATCAGATACTAAAAAGAAGAAGGTGGGCTCTGCCATTGTCAGTTTAGGATCAAGATTCCACAGAATCTTAGAAACAAGGGAAAATTAATTTTAGCAGAATTAACTGCCAGTTATAGAGACCACACAGTAAAGGTCAGAGGAGTAAGTAGTTTTGAAAAATTCTTAATTAACTAATAATGAAGCAGGAAAATCTTTCTCTAATAACTTTGAGGTTTAAGTAGGTTTGGAGATACTTTGTTTTTCTAAAATATGCTTTTATCTCTGACTAGAAATGGTAAAAATTTATTTTCATATATTTTGTGATTAAAATTACCTGTTTCATTAACAGATCAAAGCCTGTAGATTAGAAATTAAAGATTTATGGTTGTAAAGAGAAAGCAAATTGTTATTTTTGCTAGACTGTACAGGAAGTTAAAAAGTAGCATAAAAAATAATCTTATTTTAGGATTTTCAGTAAGTCTTAAAGTGCCAGATAACACATTTAAAAAGAAGTTTTAAGTTTAAGAACATGTTACTATACCATGAAGTCAAAGTAATATAACAGAATAGTTGGAGAATTAATGAAGGAAGGGGAATAAATAGCCTAAGGTAATATTAGGAATGCATTTTTTTTTTTAGGTAAACTAGGATGTTTAATTTTTTTTTAAATATATTTTATTGATTTTTTACAGAGAGGAAGGGAGAGAGATAGAGAGTTAGAAACATCGATGAGAGAGAAACATCGATCAGCTGCCTCCTGCACATCTCCTACTGGGGATGTGCCCGCAACCCAGGTACATGCCCTTGACCGGAATCGAACCTGGGACCCTTCAGTCCGCAAGCCGACGCTCTATCCACTGAGCCAAACCGGTTTCGGCAGGATGTTTAATTTTAAGAGAATCCTCTTTCAACAGGATCATTCAATTCTCCTAAAAATGGTGGCATTCTTTTAAACTTTTCTTTTTTCAGAAGCAGCAGTTATATTGAGTTAATCTAAAATGTGAACCCCCTACTTAACTTTCACTTTTCTGTATAGGACCATGAGAATGGATTAGGTTATCTTTCACATTTCCAAGCAAAATTCAAACTCCAAAAAACAGCCCTTTGAGAGTAAACAAACAGTCAGAGAGCATTGCATTATTACCCTAATAAAGCTGTAGGTTTCATCACATGCACCAACAAATCTACTGGCTAGTTTTGCACTCTTTCACAGAATTTTACACCTATGATACCAAACACTGACATAGAAAACTCCCTAATAAGAAAAAGGAGCGATTTTCAATCAGTATACTGTTGCACACTGTTGGGACACAATTTTTTAAAACATGCAATACCTGACTAGTCAGGGGCACTCACCTCTAGCCCCCTTAGATTGTCAAATTAAAAAAATGGATCAAAATACCTATTTTTTGGTCAGATTGGCAAAACAGTACTTTTTGGTGTGCTGCAGAATTTTAGTAATTAGTTTATGTGTGCCATGAGATGAAAAAGGTTGAAAATCGCTGACATAAAGCCAAGACAAAAGCGTCTATCTTACGAGTAATGAGACACACCATCACTTTATAGTCTTCTAACGTTATTGCACTTTAACTTTTATAATGTGACAATGCATTCATGAGACAATCAGCAGACTAGTTTTAACAAATTAAAGAACACTTTTATGCAGACAAGACTGTCCTAAATTGTTTATTAGGTAAGAATTTTACAAACGTGTATTAGCGGTAACGGTGGAGCTGGAGAGTATTGCGCCTTCTCCAGGCTGCACGCGAGAACCACCAATAGTGCGGTGGGACTTGTGGCCCTTCCCAAGGCCAGGGCTCTTGCGCCCGCAGATGTCAGCCCTCGCATCTCCCTGTGCTTGTGGGCTGTTTTGGTGGTCCACTGGGTGTCAGGATTTCTTCTGATAGCTTTATGGGATGGATCAATGAGGATAACCTCAAAGAGTTTGTACGTGGAATCTTCAATCCAGTAAGAATTCAGGACTCTCAGAGCCCCACGGTGGCGTCCAGCTTGCTCCTCTGCAACAGAGTGAAGACTTCGAGCAAACTTTAGCTGGTTAACACTGTTGAACAGGCTTGCCATAGGTCGCACCCTTAGGAACAGGCTGTTTGCGGCCACCATGGTGCACACGAATCCGTTATATGACATAGCCTTGCTTGGCCTTGTAGCCCGGCCTGCGCGCTTTGTCGGGTGGGGAGGGGGGAGGGGCCTGTGGAGCGCAGAGAGCTGGCGGTACTGCCAGCAGCGCACCCTGAGAAGGAAGCGCATGGCATCGGACTGCTGCTTCCTCCCTAGCTCCTGGATGTACTTGTAAGCGCCCATTTTGGTTTACCTGATGGCTTCAGCCAGACGGAAAGGAAGAGCCTCTCTCCAACAGTCCTCTTTGGACTCCTCCAGGGAATGCAGTTTTAAAAGGGAAGGTTTTATGGTCAATTCTACATGAAGGGAAATAAGACAAGGGAGTTCAGAATCTTGGGTTCCACTACTGGTTCTGCTACTTACAGAGATCATGAAGCAATGCCTTCACATCTTTGGTTTTAGTTTACTCAACCCTAAAATAAGGATTACCTCTAACAATTTAATAATCTATATTCCTTGTAGCATCATTTGTTATAAATTTTCTTCCATTCACAGAGTGACTATTTTTCTGTCCAGAAGAGTAAAATCAAATGCGAAATGTCTTCTGATACCAAATTCTTTTAACTGTTGGGAGTTGAAAGCTTTTACTCAGAACCATGAAAGAAGCAACCCTGGGTTTGTGTGTAGTGTCTGTCTAACTTGACTTATGAAAGAGATGACAGAGCAAGAAAATTAAATGAGTCTTTCTGTCTGTAGTGTCGTCATGGGCTTCTTTTAAGATTTGGGGGTAAGGGAGGATCATTGCTACTTAAATTGCTTTTCCCTCAAAGTTGAAGTTTTTTCCTTAGGAAAATGGATGAGCCAGAATGTAGAATTTATGTTTAATTTTAGCTTAATACTTGAACATTTTTATAAAAGCATTTTAAAAGTGATGTATCTAAACATTTTACTATACAAACCTTAAGCATCCAGCATTGTATTTCTTTGTCTATGCTTTTGATTCTTACCAAATTATACTTAAGCCATTATTCTATAGTTATTGTGAAATCTTAGGTTTTTTCACATTTTAAATGAATTTGTATTGAAATAGGTTATAGTTTTCATTTTAATATAGAACGTTCAATTGTATAATTACAGCATAAGTAAACCATTCTCCATGTGTTGGTTGTTTCTAATTTTTCATTTCTGTGAAAACAAACTTTCTCTTTTTAAAATAGAGTTAGCTTCTTTTTAGGGAAAAAAGAACAAGAAAAATTATTCAGATCATGGGCAATTTTATGACCTCTTTTATACTCTTTAACTGGAGAACAGTCTGATTTTAAAGCTGTGCCTGAATATTTCTTATCTTCTTGGAGTCGAGATAACTCTAGGTTTTGTTTTAGATTTATTTTTGGTAGTTGAATAGGTATGAAGTGGTATCTTAAAAATATTAAAATTTACTTAGTAGGAAGAATCTTTTTCCCCAAATGCTGATTTGATCTTAAAAACTATTTGTATCTTTTGATGGATATATATGTTAGCCATTGTTTGCCACATAATAGATGACCGGTAAATGTTGAATTGGTTGGATTTATATTGTAGACATTAAGCTTTATCTATTGTGATTATTGCAGGTGTTGCTTACATTTACTCTACTGTTTTAATTTTAGGCTTATTTATTTTTTCATTGCGTGAAAGTATATCTTACATCACCGGATCTGTTGATTAGTTGCTTATGCTTCTATTGCTCAAAAATTTATCTCTTTCTACAGATGAGATAAGTATACTATTCTGTTTTTTCCATTTTTTTAATGCTACTTATTCTTCATATATTTAGAATTAATCATAGTGTATGATGTGGATATGTTTTTCTCCACATTGATACTCAGTTTTTATGACAACATTTTTTAAAAATAGATTTTTCTCCACTTATAAGCACTTTTTAGATTTGATTATTGCTTTGGTATTTCTAGTCTCATGTTTTGCTTTGATTTTTTAACAAAAATATGTTTAACAAAAACTGTTTTAACCATTTTAAGGTATACCATTCGGTGGCATTATGTACAGTCACAATGTCAGCTATCACCACTATCCTCTAGTCTCCTTACTTGATATATTTCTACTTAAACCTGAAACATGATTGCTATTATTCTCAGACAAATTGTTTAAATCTCTGAATCCCAGTTGACCGGCCCATAGAATAAGGATGATGCTCATAGATCCCTTTTAGAATAGATCAGTTATTGTTGAATAACAATACTTGAAGCAATCATCTTAAAGCCATTAGAAGAGGGTATTTTGCTTTTTGTTTTCATTCTTCAAGGCATACACATAATTATATTTGAGGGAATCATGGCAAACATTTGCTAATTACTTATTTCTTATAAATTCTGAAGCAATCCACATATTAATAAAAATCTTAAGTGGTTATAGACCATTTTTTTAATACTTCTTAAGGCTATTGTTTATAACTATTATTGCTGAGATATATTTAATTTTGGGAGGGATACTATTGATTTTTTCCAGGGAAACTTCTGTAGCCTTTGGTGTACTCTGAAAATATATATAAGGTTCTGAAAGGGGTAGTAAATAGACTTCTAAAATACAGTGTAGATATGATCAAATTTATGAGCTACCTGT